CAATTATATATTTTTAATGTGTTACCTCTTAGAAAATTTACTTTTATATCCGACATGATGAAAGGTCTTCCTAAAGCATTGTACATGAGAATTGACTCTCATCATCATCACCGCTATTGCTTAAGACATATTAAACCTAATTTTAAAAAGAGCTTTGGTCAGATACATTTACAAAACCTTCTTTGGAAGCAGGTTGTACACCCGAAATATGTGTGTATGATCAGATACAGGATCAAATCAAGGCAACATTTCAAGCTGCACATGACTGGATTGAGAGTAGTTTGGGAAGTGAATATGTCGACCGGTGGGCACGAAGTAAAGATGGAGGGAATCGGTTTTGCATGATGCAACTAATTGTTCTGAAAGCTTCAATGGTGTACTTAAAGGAGCTCGAGCAATGCCCATACATGCGTTGGTTGCGAGGATATTTTATAGACTCAATCACTATTTTGTCAAGCGGTAAGAGGATGGAGCAAAGTGGGTAACGTTATAGACACCAAAAAATGAAGAGATTGTAGGGTCTCGTGTCGTGCAGGCGAGATCAACAAAGATTGTTAGATTTGCTATAGATGAATGGCATGTTACAGACAAACACAGTCATAATTACACCATCAATTTACAAGGGACACAACGTGCATGTACTTGTAACATACCATAATTACAAAAATTGCCATGTTCACATGTTATAGCGGTTACATCCAAGCAATTTTGGGGTGCAAATACTTTGTATTATACATACACTTCTGAGTGGTATCAATCAAGCCACTATATAGATTCATACAATGAGTGTTTTCATCCCATTATAGATGGTCATTACTGACCACCCTATAACAGATCACATGTGTTACCTCATAAATATAAGAGACAAGCCAGACGTCCGCAATCAGTACACATAAAAGGTACGATAGATGAAGGATGGGAAGGAGCTTCAAAGAAAAATAGGTGTGGATATTGCAGACAACCGGACCATAATAGATCTCATTGTCCTACCAATCCAAATAGATAGCAATTAATTAGTATAATTTATTTAATTTATAATTTTATTCTACTTCCTTTGTAAGTTAATGTGTATATATAAATTCTGTAATTTACTTATAATTCTAATTTATCATACGTCATAATACTAACACATTTTAGCTTTATATGTGCAGTTATTTACAGTATGCAGACGGGACCATTGACATATGAGGTCTTATATGACTAAGATCGACACTGATCCGTGAAGATAGACTCTGGAGAGGTAAATTATATTTTTATTATGTTCAATCATTTTAAATTTTCAATGTTATTACTGTTATTGAACATTTACACTATTTCATATATGCAGACCCCGAGTATTACTATTATTAATCATACTCGTGCATATTCGAGTTGGAATTTGACGGATCCACGAGTGCAATATTATGTTCGTCAAGCAGGCTCTTTTGAATATTCACAAATAAAATGGGTAAGACTCGATTGGCCTCTCTTGACGGCATTGATTGAACGATGGATGCCCGAGACAAATACATTTCACATACGTTAAGTAGAGTCAACTATTACTCTGCAGGATATAGGGGTTTTACTCGGTCTCAAAGTGGATGGAGATGCTGTTACGGTTACCGATAACTTTAACTCGATAGGAGTGTGCGAATGATTGTTGGGTCAAGCTCCTAATATGAAGGGTGGTAAGATCAAGCTCGAGTGGTTACGAAATAATTACATGAATGTACTGATCAATGCAACTGATGAGTTCGTCAAGAGCTATGCCTGTGTGTATATACTCCATATGATCAGTACTATTCTATTTCCGGATTCCACTAAAGATTTGGTGCGTGTTAGATGGTTATCACTTCTTGAGGATCTTGAGGAGTGTGGAGAGTTATCCTGGGGGAGTGTAGTGTTATCTTATCTCTATAGGGAGATGATAAAAGTGGCATTCGTCCAAAATAAAGAATTCAAATGTTGCCTCACTTTGTTACAAATATGGTCATGAAAGCGATGACATTTGGGAACACCAGATTTGAGGGAGACCAGCGCTTTCGATGGCCAGATTCCGTTAAATTGCGAGTATATTAGTTTGTAATAGATATAATTACATATAATTTTATACATTTATTTCAATCTACACAAAACCTTTGTATTTCAAATAGATAAAATGTTTTTAGATATTGGCAAACCTCCCCAAATGGTTATGAAAACTTTTACAGAAACGAGATTGATCTACTGGAGGATGAACATGTATAAAATCATAATATCTAACTATATTCAATCAATATATCATTTGTTACTGTTATGTAAATTTACATAATCTTCTTTATAGGTCAAGTGTATACCCTATGAACTACTTTTAGCTTCACTACCAGATATTTGTAGAGATGGTGAAGATATATGGCGTGCTCGAGTACCAATAATATGTCTTGAGATTGTTAAAATACACGTGTCTGACCGTGTGCTCTGACAATTTGGATTAGAACAACATATTCCAGATCCTGTAGAAAGAATAGAGCGAAATCCCCGAAAAGGAGCACATCATCAAAATTGGGAGATAATTCATCATGCTTACATTGAGAATTGGGAGTTGAGGGAGGAAGCTGTAGTGATGGATTGGGCTGACGCACTAAAACTAGATGTATACTTACGATGGTACTGAGGATTACTCGCCGATGAATATTTCGAGAGAACAAAGCACCTAAGGAGTACATACCGAAGGTCCAGTTGAGAGAGAGTTGGTAAATGTATAGGCAAAATATACAATTATTTTGTGATTATTATTTTATTATCATCCATAATCCTCTTTCGCTTTTTATCTTATAGGTACAAGAACTCGATGAGGTCGCTTCTATTGCACATGATGCATTGAGATCGACTACCGAGCCAGGGGTGAGGAATGCATTTTTCGCATCATAGGAAAGATTCAGTCCGCTCTTAGAAGGACTCGTCATGCGAATCATGATGGACATGAAAAACAACTCATAGGGCACGAGCATCGACGGGTCCAAGGACACACGTGAGCGGGCTTAAGTCATGCACATAATAAAGCTGTAGGCCCATAGCAAGCTCAAGCCGGATGTTCACAGTAGGTTCAAGTCGACGAGGATGTTATGCACTCACAAATTCACACACAAACGGATGTTGAGATCATCTAAGCACATGTTGAAGGTGAACATGGAAGGGGGAGAGGAAGAAGGGACAAAGCGAGACGGAGTGGGAGAGCGAGAGGAAAGGGAGTTCTAAATATTTGTTAAATTTTGATATATTTCGTATGATGTTTATGTTTGAAATGCTATGATGTTTATGTTTGAAACGCTACTATGACTTGATTATGGTTGGATTTTTAGTAAGTAAATTAAATGTTATGTTTTTGTTAAAGATTTGTTATAGACGTAATAATTATATAACGATATGTGTTTATTTGTGTTTGAAATTGATTATAAATTCATAAATGTGTAGCAAGAGAGTTGGTGTTAAATTTGACAATTTTAGTCGAGGATTGATATATGTTAGCAGGAGATGGGATTTTCCAGGAAGTGTGGGTTGGATGGTCTCTTCCCATTTTTGTGTGGGGTGACTCGGGCTATGCAAACGATCGGGGTTAGGAACCTCGACAAAATTAGTCGGGGTTACAAACCCAGACTTGTTTAGTGGCCTAACCACCGATGACGGGCGAGGGTCGTCCTAATTAGTCGGGGTTGGCAACCCCGACTAATTAGGCACCAGATTTTTTTTAAATCGACCCAATTTTTTGTCACGATGCTGACATGGTCAGAAATTGGGTCGGTTTCTGAAAATAACTTGGGAGTGGGTCGATTTTAAAAAATGTTTTAAGGTTATTTTGAAAATTTCTTCTTAGATTTAAAATTAAAATTTTAAAATAGTTGAGAGACTTTAAGCAAATAAGATAATTTTCAGGTAGCATCCTTGTTTGCTGTATCACGTGACTCTCCAGGCTAGCTTCTCGAAGTGGATAATACATGGGATCAAGTGACATCATCAATCTCTTTAATTTTCTCTTCAATTTTTAGTTTTTTTTTCCCCCTTTTATGAGGGAGTTATACCATTTTTATAGGGTCTTAAGTACGAAGGGAACAACATATACTTCAGACCTTAACTTGTGTAAAGTAATAGCCTCTACATTATACTTAGGTAGCGCAAAGAGAATAACTATACACAAGTCGTATAATGTTATCTCATATGTTATATCATTTGTTGCAAAGTTATAGCCTTTACAAAGTTCATCATATGTTATTTAAATGACATAAAAATCATGATTTTTTTTCCTTTTTTTTTTGTGAAATAGGTTCTCAAAAGTGTAATCATGTCCAATATGATATCTATCTTATCAATATTTTCTAATCTATTCTTGAATATTGAAACTCGGTCCATGCCCAACAAATTGGATATAGAATGAAACATGCGCAAAATGCATATCAACAAATATTAGATATCACAAAATTTTTGAAAACCAAAGCACCTAAATCATGTGACACGAAATCAGTGTAAAAATCACAAATAATCTACAAGCAGATTCCATCGGCAACGCACCTAATCTCTAACTAGACCCCCAGTAATCAATCCACTAATCTGGGTCAAAAGTAACTACATTCCTTTGATTTAAAAGTGTATAAAATATTTGTATCCATAAGATATACTCTACGAGTTACAAATTAAAATCACAGTTGCAAAAGAATAAAGGCCTTGTTGCATATTAGGCCTTTTTATCACTCCTACTTAAGAGTTGGTTTCCAAACAAGGCAATATCAAAATTTCCAATAATTTCAAATAGGTTTGCAATAATTTACCGTTTAAAAACTAAAATTGTTTAGTAGGAAGGATAGAAAAATCAATTTGAGAGAACTGAAAGGTAATTTTGCACATACCAAGATTTGAAAGGTAAGTTTGCAAACACGAAATATTTGAGGGGTATATATATGAAAAACCCCTAGAATAAAATGAACAATCAGTATAATAAAATGCTTCGCAGCAAAAGCTTGAGATCACAGCAAATGGTGAAGCACATATAAAATTAAAAATGCCAACCTCAATCCTATCACCTAGCAAAAAATTTCATCAAGAGACCCCGTACCACATATTTGAACGTAGAAAACAAGACAGTAAGTTCCACAATTTGGCAAAAAAAATATGCATCTATGGAAAGAAAATAGCAGTAACTTTCCATTTTCCTTGTGAAATTTGTTCTGAGATCTCTAAAAAAAGAAAAAAGAACAGAGATAAGATACACAACCAATGGCCGGTAGAAATTGGTAGCCCAACCAAATCTGAGTTTGCCGATATCTTTAGAATATAACTACAAGTCAACAAAGTATCAGATCCTTGCAGTCTCCCTAGCAAAGCCTCCAATAAGTTGCAGGACATGTTAACCCTCAAGTTTCATGAGTATATACTCACTTTCTTAGCTCACAAAATTCCAAGTACTTCTGAGTACATAACTCCAGCCATTCTGAAACCCAAATGCAATTCTCGCCCCAAAGCCAATCCCATTAACAAGGAAAATCTCCATGTAGAAATTGGGACGCATGCTCATATTCCTCATCCTAAAACTCCTCATCCTTCATAGGCTAATCAGTGATTTATATTCTTCGTCATCCAAACATCCTCGATCTCTCAACACATCGATTAACATATCAACATCCTCCATCTTCTCCATCTCCTTACAAAGTGCTACAATATTTGCTACATTTCCAGGCTTTGGCCTCCAATTACTTGCACCATTATATGACGCAGCATTTTTCATACACGACAAAGCCTTGGAGATTTCTTTATCCTTCACATATCCTTCTGCTAGTATCTCCCATGTGATTGGTTTTGGCTTGCCACCTTTTTCTACCAAGCGATCAAGAAGTGCCTTGGCCTTATAAACAAGCCCTTGTCTCGAATACCAACCCATAAGAATGTTGCATATCCTAGGATCAGCATTCGATGTAGTTGAAAGCCACTCTTCGTAAATATCTTCGGCTTTATCAATATCATTGATTCTAACCAAAGAAGCAAGCATTGCTTGATAACCCATATTCAGCATATTAGGAAAACTCGACTTGTACCAATCCCATACTCGATATACTTCTTGTTTTTTTCCTAGGCTGCTATAATATCCAAGAAGATAATTGAAGGGTGTTCGATCTCTACCCGTAACCCTAAGCTCCAGCTCCTTTAAGCAATTTTCAGCCTTTTCAAATTGACCAGCTTTAATATACATTGTAGCAAGTGTACTATAAGTGGTCCAATTTGGATTAATGTTGCTATCAGAAATCATTCTTTCCATTACTCTTTCCATCTCCTCTATCTCTTCCATGGCTGCGCAATTTGTGATCCAGATATTATAGGAGTATAAGTCAAATTGGATATTCTTCTCCTTCATCTCGTTAATGATTGTATTAACTTTCTCATGTTCTTCAAGATTCATATATAATGTCATCATCACATTGTAAGGGAGTGCATCTGTTACATAACCTTGCGCTTTCATTGTCTCAAGAATGTTCTCTGCTTTTTCTTTCATCTTTGCTTGGCCATACGCATTTAGAAGTGCACCATATGTGCGTTTGTCTTTTAGTTCATCTGAAAGTGAATAGAAATAATTTTCTGCATACGAGATGTCATGCACTTTGGAGATAAGATCCAACTGGATTGCCATGTCACTGGACGTAAAGGTAAAACGATCTCCTTGGGCAGTCATCCACTCATAAATCTGAGAGAACATGTTCAGGCCAGAAAATATTAATTTGGGGGAAAAGAAAGGTCTGATTGCATAATAAATAATGGTAATAAAAGGAAACAAAAAGAAACAAGAAAGTTGGAATTGTGTTCTTTAGTTTTATAACGTCCTTATTGCAAACTTTGTGCAACGTCGCTCTGATCATCTTTCAGAAACCACATGATGGAGGTAGTAACTAGTTTCACTTTCACAACATAATGATATCAAGAAAAAGGATCCTTTGGTTGCAACATTATTACTTATTCCATGAATTACTTATTCTATGAACCATACTCATACAATCATCATAATGACAGAGGCAAGATATCATTCAAAAGTAAGGACTTGATTGATACAAATCCTAAGCCCTAGATAAATAATCATCTTGCAGATGTTGGCAACTGAATGGTTACATGAATCTCTGATAAAAAGGCAATAACAATAAACTACTAAACAATGTTGAAATAAATCAATCTTCAGAAAGTTTTGGTAAAGAAATATAAATAGAATTATTTTCCATACCTTAAAATATATTAACTAAACCAACCAAAAAAAAAGATCCAGTTCCCAAGGAAAATAGATAATATGTTTTTAAGGTTATCTGATTGCCCTTCCTTTTATATTTTAATTGGTATTTTCTTAGATAACCACCCATTTAATTTCAAACTAGAAAACTTCTAATCTTATTCATTTGATGCAATGTTATCTCAACTCGGTCTCCTAAAATATGAATAAAAATTACTTGCCTCGTATTTGTTAACTACATCATATCTTAGGATGTCTTTTTAAGAACTTTATGGTTTCAAGTGAAAAATGGTAGCGCATGATGTCAAGATCCTGACAGGACCTTCAAGCAGTGGATTTGTCAAACTTTCACTCCATCTCCCGAAATTTCGATCCACCATGCAAATTGGCTCTTCTAAGTTTTGTTTTTTTTTTTACTCATTTTGGGAGTACAAATCTAGACCGCGTGCCGCATGCAGCCATATGTAATCTGCTTTTGTTTCTTATACCAGTCTACATATCACGGCTTTCCTGCAGAAAAGTGATACACCAATCATGGGAATTTAAGAAAGATTAAAGTTGAACTAGAAAAGAACTCCAGCCTAAAAGTTCCATAATTATTTCAACTATTAGTACAAACTGTAGCATATTTGTTGAATTCCTTTTGAACAGATCTTTTGTAAAAAAAGCTACGTTGCGTAGAAATGGTACGGGCACGGGACGTGGAAATTTTGGAAAAAGTAGGGCATGGAGACACAACTATATAAATATTTATGTACACATAATGTGTGTATACATTAATATTGAAATCAATAATTTACATGAGACCAATATTGTTGTTAGTTCACATTTTATGAGAATTAAAATTCATATAACATTTTTACATTTCTTTTATTATGTAGGTTATAAATTGGAAAAACCATTTATTTTTGAAGTAGATACTCAAATGACCCTTTAAAATCACAGTTCAAATTCTGACTTATGTTCAATGAGTTTCAAAAAGTGAACGTGAAGTGTAGGATATTCCTTTTAGAAATGCATGACCAACGTTTTAAATTAAAACATGTATTGCATAATTGAGTGTATACATGTATGCATATACACTAGGAGGGTTTGTGGAGTTTGGATACAAGGCACGGATACAGGTACAAGTACGTGTCGAGCATGGGTTTGACTTTAGATAGAAGTACCTAGGTAACATAGTAAAATAACCTAAAAAAAACTGCTAATCATCGCTTAAGTTGAAACCAAGCAGCGGTTGCTCGACCTCAATCAAAATTCGCCATGCTCTTGAGAGCACTTCAAAAACTTCGTACTTAGACACACTTTGACCCGCTTTATGGAGGTGGTAAAGCGGAATTAAGGTCCAGATTTGGTCCATCATGGTGTTGTAAAAAGTGGCCTAGGCATCCGCCTAGGCGTAGGCAGATCCTTGGCCGCCTAGATTTGGCCTGAGCGGCTAATCAAGGCGGCCGCTCTGCCTATGCGGCACCTAGGGCCGCCTAGGTCCGCCTAGCTTTTTGAATAAAAAAAAGAAAAACCTAATTTTAAACTAAACCCAAACCCCAGCCCAAACCCGAACTCATTACTAACTCTTAACCTAACATTATCTCTCTGACTCTCTCTCTCCCTCTCTCTCGTATTCTTGCCGCCTCCTCTTCTCAATCGCCCCCTGCCTCCTCTC